GAAAAGTTCAAGCTTTTGATGCTTGTATACATATATATATATATCCCCATTGTATAAGTTACCTTCATCTTCACCATCCCTCTCATCCTCTTATTAGTTACTAGTGGTTGAAGCAATGGCTTCCTCTAATTTTATGGCTTCTTTCACTGTAATTCTAGTTCTGCTAGCTGTTATTGCAAAAGCAGATGATTATATATCTCCTGCTCCCTCTCCTATCGGTGGTCTCTCTCTCTCTCTCTCTCTCCCTCTCTCTCTCACACACACACATATTTAGATATTGAGAAGTGTTGTGTTGATTGACAGACAGCCTATGCAATGAAGTGGAATGTGGGAAAGGAACTTGCAAGACAGCAATTGGGTCTCCATTTAACTTCGTATGTGAATGCGACGCTGGCTGGAAGCGAACCCGTCTTGACAACGAAGAAAATTTTCAGTTTCTTCCTTGCATAGTTCCAAACTGTACGATCCGTTCTCTTCTTTTTCTCCAATTTTCTTTCTTCTCCTTTTGGTTGATGATAAAGCTCAAACAAGAAAATAGAAAAAAAAAACTACATAAATTGTTTTGATATTGCCTAAGTGAAGTTGCCTCTACTAAATTAAATGTTTTATGTACCACGTTTTTGATAAATAATAAACAGATCCATATATTTATGTACCATGTTTTTGATCTTTTGAATTTCAAATTTTGACAGTTTTGTCTAATTTCAGTCATCGCAGTCTTACTTTTGCAAGGTTATTTTTTTGCCGAAAAAAGTAGAACTAAAGTTTAACCCTCCTAACATTCTCGATTATCAAGTCAACGATCTTTTAATAAATTTTATTTTTTAGTGAAATTCTGTGAAATTACTCATTATATGTTATATTCTTTAATTGTATTTTAGTACTCAACAATTTAGAGTAGTTATTAGCCTGTTATTGTTTTGTCATTTTTGCAGGTAGTCTTGACTACTCCTGCATGCCGGCTGCCCCACCAGCGCCCTCCGTTCCAGCCAACTCATCATTCTTCGATTGTAATCAACATCCATGAGCTACATATACATACATATATATCCCAATATATTTGTGATAAATTAGATTTCTTATATATTGGTTATTTTACAGCTTGCAACTGGATCTATTGTGGAGAAGGTTCATGCACAAAGAATGCAACATATACACATACATGCCAATGCAACCCGGGTTATCAAAATCTCATGAATATCAGTTTCTACCCTTGCTACAGTGAATGTAAGACCTACATGGCTGAATAAATTTAGGACTAATATTGCACTTTTTACCTATAGGGTTTATATTGATTAGTCAATTGATAGAATCGAGTTATCCCTCTTTATATTTTTCGTCGATCTCACTCAATAATAGATCAGTAATCATGAATTTAGATGGGACCCACTATTTATAAAGGAGTCTCTCACCCTTAAATGATGGATGATTTGTCATTACATAAAATTGAACAAAATTATAACTGAGGAAATCTGAATTACGTGGTATTCATATATTATTTTTCTAAGAACTTATGTACACTTCACATAATATACACATGCCATTTTTGGTATTATTCATGTAGTATGTTGAACTTTAGATGACGAAACTGATCTAACTGGAATTTTACTAACTATAGTAAGAAGCATTGTAAACTCTAGAGGATGTGAAGTATAATAAATTTAAAGTGTGTAGAGATTTCTCAGTGATCTGTGTTCTAACATTTGGTTTGCTTCAGGTGCAATTGGATCTGATTGCGCAAGGCTTGGAATCGAGGTATCTAAGTCATCATCACCCTCACCTTTAGATGGGAATAGTCAAGGTGAGAAACATTTATTTCATGCCAAATGCACATATGTTGCCAACAAAATCATATCAGCAATATGGGTTTAATTGGTCAAACATTGACATCTTCTAGAACTCTCCTCCCAAAAGAAATAAAATATATACACAAAAAATATGGTAACACATCATATTATCAAATTCATCGATCTTCACTTTAGGACATCATCTTAAAATTTTTTCGATTTTATGCTTCAATTGCTAGAAGTTTTGGATAAGAAAAGCAATGTGTTATTTTTTTGTAGTGTTCACGTTGTATTTTCTATCAATGTTATGAAAGAAGTTATTGAAAAAATTTTAAAATTGATAGATGAAAGTGATAAGTTATAATCAATACAAATGAAGCATTGTAGTAGGTTTTATTTATTTTTTGAGACCCACTAAACAAAGATATTTTCTAAGATAAAACTTGTTTTTTAGAACGATAAATATATAACTCTACATGAACTTAAGTGTAATTCCATTAGGAATGTGACGGTTTAGAATTGAACGACAAATGCCCTCCAATTTTTATTTTTTATTTTTTTGGGTTTTATTACACTCTTAGAACAATTTTTAATTTTATTAGCATCTATAAATCTAAAAAAAATAATAATAATAAAAGGGATATTGATTTCATGAAAATTTAAAAAATATATCTATATCTATCTATCTATCTATCTATTATATATTTATATTTATATTATTAATAAAAGTACTTTAACATGAAAAACTTTTGAATTTTTATTTTACGCTTATAAAGAATTACAAAAGACCACTCTATCCTTTTACAATTAAATATCTAAATTATTATCATTTCCTTATGTATTTAAACTCATATGCAAAAATAACATTATATCAACATATGTGTATTTTCTCTTTCTTCGAAAGGTTTAATCCTTTCATTTCTAAAATAAAAAATTATCATATATATATAGTTTTTTAAAATCAATTTACGTAAAATCAGTATAATTCTTCAGCCACAATAAAATTTTTGAATTGTATTAAGATTTTATGTGAAAATAGATATTATAGTGTATTTTAAAGTAATATTAAATTTCTTTTAGAAATTTAATATGCTTGATAATATATATATATATATATATATATATATATATATATATATATATATCTAGAGTAGTATATTAAATCTTATCTGAATTCACCTAGCTAATTCCCAATTACAGTAAGTTTCAAAATGCATCATTATATTTTCAATAAAATATTCAAAAAGCCTTCAATAACTCTATCAATCTGAAATTACTTATCTCATATGCAAAAATAATATTATGCTTACCTATATGTATTTTCTGTTGCATTCAAAAGTTTAACCCTTTTATTTTTTAAGATAAAAAATAATCGTATATACAATTTTTTAAAATTAATTTATATCACATCAATAAAATTCTCAGTCATAATAAACCTTCTAAAGTGTATTAAAATTTTATGTGAAAATAGATATTTTAGTGTATGTTTAAGTAAATCTTGAATTGTTTAGAATTTTAATATGTTTGATAATATATATTATAGGGTAGTATATTAAATTTTATTCCAATTCCTAATTAGAATAAAGTTCTATATGATTAGTATATTGATAAATACTTTTATTTTATTTAAGAAATTATAAATGGAATCCTAATAAAATGAATTTCAAAAAATTTAATTTTTCAAAGATCACTAAAAATAAATCTCAATCACATAATTCTAAAAAAATAGAACTTTAAATATTTTTCAAATCTTTTTCCTTATAGTTAGAACAAAAGATTTTTGGGACCATACAAATTTTTCATAATCCTACAATAGAATACGAGAAATGAAAATTTAAGTTTGTAAAATTTGAAATGATATTTAATTTAGATATACATATACCTAATATGTTTTATTACTTTTTGTATAAAACTATTCACGTGCGTACACAACTATACACCTCATTTTTGCTTTTTACTTTGATTAAAATATTTAGTTATCATGTTTGGTCATTAGTATTGAGGGAAAAACTAATGGGTGCCCGTTAAACTGGATAGTATAATGGGTTTTATCCTAAATATCACAGTTAAATTTCATCTCAACGCTTTCTTGTTTTGCAGCCACCTCTTTTCTCCCAGGAAGATTCCATTGGATAAGCATCACACTGATCTCTATGGCTTTGGCCTTGTGGAAGTAAGATGAGAAGTACTATGAAGATCTGATCCACCTCACTTTTGGTTTCATCACACAGATTTTAATTTTATACCTTAGTTTGAATTATTTGTGTATGTTAGTTTGGTCAGTATATGTTTATTCTATCAGATTTATATGTATAAAAGCTTTACATTGTATAAATAAGTACAGTAAGAGGGGAGGATGATGTTGTACAAAATATTTTTTTGAATAAATATGACTTTTGTCAGCCAGTATCTATAATTACAAAGAGCAATGCTATGCACATCAAATTTGTGCATCAAAAGTGTGCCCAAAATCATTGCTAGCCGTCTGTTTAGTGGGGCCCACTATCATACAATGACTAACAATAATTTGATGAACACTTTTTGTGCACAAATAATTATCCATTACAAAATTCAAGTATATAAAGGCAAACTTCAAGTACATGGAATAAATAAATCAGCTCCAACAATAACTTTAGGACCAAGGACCTTTCATCAAACATCGTAGAGACTATATAATTGTTTTACATGTGAAGGTATGGCCCTTCAATACAAAGAGGTATGCTACATCAGTTCTTTCAAGGATAGTGAAGTATGGTATACATAATTCATGTGCATCTTAGCAATCCCCATTCAATACAAAGAGGTTACATGCAATATTATCTGCCATAAAACCTTGAAATATACAAAGAAAGCCATATAACAAACTTCGAATCAAAAAAATCACCTGCTAGCTGATTCTCGAAAAGGTGATTATAGAATTAGTATGGAAAAATTGCACATTTGACAAATATTACGCAATGTTTAGTCTTATTATATCGGCAATGACCATAAAAAAGTTAAGACACCATAGCAATTGGCTGAAAACAACAATCTGAAATCCGTATAATTGAACTCAATCACTAGAATATTGTCATGGTTAATTTTGGGAACCACCAAAAAATGCCAACAAAACTGGAACAGAATCACCAACTAGCAGGTGTTAAAACACATAAGAGAGAGCTTCTCAATCATACAACAAAAAACTATTGAAGAGTTTTTTCTCAAAAGTCCCGAATGACTGAAGATAAGAAGTTCGATAGTAAGAAGCCAACAAAGAAAGGTGAGGCCATGCCTACATTTGTTAATGTCAATAAGAAGAAAGAAAATGGAACAGGAAAGAAAGTCCCTAAAAATGGGAAAGAAACTTCCAGAAATCCCTCTTTAAAAGAAAGAAAAGAAGTGAACTACACTTTCAAAGATGATGATGGGGAAGAAATTTTCAACTCATTGCTAAAGGCTAAGGCAATAGAATTGTTGGAGCTTAAGCGACTGTCCAAGGTTAACAAGACCAATGATCCAAAAAATTTTCGGTACCATCTGATTGGTAGTCATTCTTAGAAGGATTGTTATGTCCTCAAGAATATCATTCAAGCAATGGTGAATAAGGGAGACATTGAAATACAAGAGTCCTTTGTTGCTACAACTTCAAATAATATCTCCCTAGTAAAAAACAAGTCCATCCCCAATATCTTGCTACCAAAGGGGGCAATCCTAATTGCTTTTGTTGTCGATGGTGAGGTTATCTATTAGTATGCTTACCCAGACATACCCCGTTCAAAAAAGCCAACAATTCCAACTGTTTATGAGCTTATGACAAAACCAAATTTGGATTATTGGAGCAATTCTTGTGAATTAGGAGATGAAAGTGGAGTTGAGTGCAAACACATGTCAGCAAGAAGACTATAAAAATGACAAATACTCTATCCGCCAGTGTCAAGCCTCCAGGGCACCTTGGAATAATGTTTCGCGGGAAAAAGACGGAGAAGAAAAGCAATAAAAAGAAAAAGAAGACTCAAAAGAATACTCAAGTCCGTTTGGAGGATGAGTACATCTAGCCTACGAGAGTACCAATTACTCTTGTGGAGTATTTACCCCTGTAATTCTTCAAAGATGAAGGCATTGACAAAGAAATGGTGATGCAACACTGCACAACCATATGCAAATATGGTGATATATTTGACCCTGAGGCCGATAAGATTACCTTACATTCCAGTCGATGCCTTCCATTACCTCCAAAATCTTGACCAAATAAAAAGCCAGTATTACCCTCATCTTTGAGTCCTCAATGTCAAGAAACAAAAGAAGCATCTGAAAATGGGGAAGCTAATAAGACTAGAGGTAACCAAGGGGCACAAACACTTTTAAGTGTGTATGTTGCTCTAAAGTTGTCTAGAGACCTTAGAAAGGTGTTGATTCAAGCATTGACAAGTTTCGATGTCTATGTTGATAATATTGAACCAATAGATGCTAAACACTCATTGAAGGTATGGTCTTCATATATGGCCTACATTACCTTCACCGATGATGATCATCAGCTAAGGGTGGAATATCACAACTGTCCTCTTTATGTCACTGGCATAATTGGTGACAATCAAGTGAATTGAATTCCGGTTGACTATGGTTCACCTATAAATCTACTTCCTCTAAAGACATTTCATGCCATGGGTATGTCAACAAAACATTTGTCATCGACCATGCTAACAATTCAATGCTTTAATCAAGTAGGCCAGAGAGCCCTAGGCACTATCGAAGTGAAGATTGAAATCAATGATTTTCACATGGAGGTCATCTTCCATGTCAAAGATGCTAATATGACATACAATGCCTTGTGAGGACGTTCATGGTTGCAAGTGTCATTCTTTCCACACTCCACCAAGTTTTCAAGTTTTTTAAAGATGGGGAGGAAAAGATAGTGGTGGCAAATCTGAATCCATTTGGTAGTGAAGAAGTGAACTATGTTGACGCCAAGTTCTATAAGATGACAAATTCTTATTTTTCTGCTGATAGTCAAAAAGATAAAGAAGCTATAACAAGGCATGAGAGTAGCTCCAAACCACAACTTCTCAGTCATCAAAAAATTCAAAAGTTGTTTGAGACAACTCCTAAAAGGGTCCAAAAAGGTCAAGTGTCAATGGCACCGAAGGAAAGATTGCTTTTGAAATATGTACCGAATGAGCAAGAAAAATTAAAAGAAGTTTTGACTTGAGTTCGAGATACAATGACATCACTTACTATAAGTTGCACATGTCCTCTTTGAAGGATAAATCAATCAATCCCTGAAGATATTGTAATCTTAACCACATTTGGAGAGGATGGAAGTAAGATGAAGAGATTTGTTTTCTTTAAAGAGAGAACACCGGATTTTCCTTCATCATCATCTTCATAGAATTTGGGACCCCAAAAGAGCAAAGTTTTCTTAAAAAGGGGAAAAAAGAAAGTCATACCTCACTAGAACAATGACATCCCCAAGACTTTCTTTTCTGAGGCAATAGTTTTCATTACTAAAGAACAAGCTATGTTCACTAAAGAGGAGGGTGGTTAAAAGCATCGAGTTTCAATTTTTCAATGGCTTGGAGGTTATTCAAATCCTACATTCCAAAAGTCCTATTCCAACAAGAAATGGAAGTTGAAGCAAAAAATTTAAAGGAGAATAATCTTGAAAATGTTGAGGAAGTTAAAGCAGAAGAAAATCTAGAAGGGATTTCACAAGTCAATCTTGCTTCCTTTGAAGAAAATCAAACAAAAGATTCCTTGGATATGAAAGAGGAAGACAATTCCAAACTAGAAGATGACTCAAAGTTCATAAATAATGTTCAACTAGCACCTACTCAAATTGAAAAATGAGGATAGGTCACTCTTGATGAGCTCCGAGAAAAAAATCTTAGTACAATCGATGATCCTAAGCCCATCTTTGTCAGTGCTCAATTCTATCAAGAAGAATTAAATGAGTATGAGCACCTTCTTCTGGAATATCAAGACGTCTTTGCTTGGGGCTATCAAGACATGCTAATACTAGATCCAAAATTTCAACACATCGAAGTTGAAGTGGTTAAGCTGATAAGTGTTGATTTATTCAACAATTTCAATATCCCATTTGGCTCTCAAATATTGTGCTTATTAAGAAAACGAGTGGACTAGTGTGCATTTGTAAAGATTTCAGGGATCTAAATGATGCATGTTCTAAAGATGAATTCCTACTTCTGATTACCAAACTAGTGGTGGATGCAACCACGAGGTTTGGTGCTTTATCTTTTATGGATGACTTCTCAGGTTACAATCAAATAAAAATGGCGTCTTAAGATGAGGAACTCATTGCATTGCATACCCCCGAAAGAAATTTACGGTTACATAGTAATGTCATTCGGATTGAAAAATGCAGATTCTACTTATCAAAGAGCCATGAAAATAATTTATTAAAAAGAAATGGCATTCCCTAGATGTTTTTCATATTAGATTCTCAAGCAAGTGAATTAGGTAATGTAAAACCCGAAAAAAATTAAAACTTGATTAAAAAGGGTAAAACATTAATTAGCAGTTAAATTATGGTTTGAATACCTAATTCTTTTTAGAAGTTGGATGATGAAATGGAACTCACCTTTGGATTCGTCTCGCAAAATTAAGTTAGTTAGTCAATATTCATTAAATTCTGAGACAATCAAATTTTTTTAGTGTTACGATATGATCGGGTTTCAAGTGAGTCAAGCGATTAAATTATGCGATCACATTTAATTGTGGAACCCGTAATATAATTTAAAGTACATCTTATAAAATTATATCAAATATGACATATGGAAAAATATGATTTGTTGGAATAAAATTTGACCAATTAAAAGGTGACATGTGGCGCCTTAAGGACCAAGTGGCAAAAGAGGCTTAAAGGTAGAAGTCAAAGTCTTCCACCACACAATTTCTTTGATATTTCAGCCGATAAGGAGGGAGAGAGAGAGAGAAAGAGAGAGTTCTCCAAGTCTTCTTCTTCTTCATTTGTTCCTTAGATCTAGAAAGATCCGATCAACGACTTGCCTCAAAGAAAGAACTAAAGTTGCTCACAATGGTGAGGGTTATGCATGGGTACCATCCACGCTAAATTAAAAAACTTGACAAAATAGGAGTTTTGGCTAGAGGTTGAACAAAACATCATTTGTTATCTTGAGCAGTCGTTCTATCTCATACGCATGCTACAAGAGGTAGGATTTCCTCCTATCTAGGTTTACCTTCAACCTAGGGTTGCTACATGAAATAGGTTTGAGTAAATATATGTTAATCACATGATTAGCTTATAACTAGTGTAACTAGTGAGTTAATTGGAACCGATGAACATGTTGTCTAAATCCTACATGAATTGAGTTGTTGAACAAGTTTGGGATGGAAGATGATGAGATGAATTATTTGGATGTGTTATTTGTTTATATTTTATGCACTTTTAAGTGTTTGATAAAATACCTAAATGAATCAAGCATGTTAATTGAGTTAATCAATTTATATAACATGTGTTAGGTGATATGGTAGAATGTTGTTATATACTTCCATAATATAATTAACATTATGATGAAGTTTATGGGGCTATGTTGTGGGTATGCTATGTATTTACATTTCATGTTTTCTAAGTGTTTTAATAAAATGTGTAGGTGAGTTGTAGTATGTTTATTGGATTGTAATCATATATGACATGCTTGAGAATGTTTATGGTAATGGACATGTTCGTTATATGTTTTGTGATATGAAAAACATGATGATTTGAATTGCATGTGCACATTGCATTTGCATATGCCGAGGCTGAACTACATTCATGGGCATTGACATGAGTATGAATGTGTGTGCATAGGGTTGGATCAATCACCAACTAGGTGAGTTGATTGGTGGGCTCGGGAAGGTTAGACTTAGATCCGGATGAGTCGCATTGAATTTTGCATAAATAAATGTGTCGACATGTAGAAAAAAGGGCTAAATTCTCTCTCGGTTGCAAGACCCGATCACTTGATTTATACAGTTTCTGGAGGTGAAATTCCAAAACAGGAGCCGCAGGTGGGATGTACTGATAATCTGTTGAGGGTGTGATGTCCCTTTGGTGAAATACCATAAATTGCTGCCCCAAAAGACATGGAATTAAATAAAAGGTAATTGAATGTTTAACACCAATGGCATGGGCTTGGAATGTCCAAATTCATACGCATGTCATTGCATGTGTTGTGCGGACCCGGGATAGGACTCGATGTTGGCATTGCATGTATGAGTTTCTCACTTCATGGCATGGCATGGTGTGTAGCATTATTCACGTTATACATATGTGAATAGATATTTGAAAGAGATTATAACTATGGAACATTTCAAATGCATATGGGTTGGGAGGTGATCTCCATAGAATATACCCTATTGAACGTTGTCTTACCCTTTATGGGAACATTTTTTTAGGTATAACACATGTTTCCGCTGAAGGCCATCCTACAGGCCCACTTTGGTGATGGAGCCAAAGCTTGACTCACATTTTGGAATTGTAGTCCCATTGTATTTATTTTTGGCCTTGTAATTATTTATACAAAGATTTGTATATTATGGAT